TTATGATATTCCCACATTCTCAGCTCAGCAAAAATAAACCCTTTTCAACAAAACCCACAAAGAATAAACTGCAGATAACCTTGTCTTTGGCATCATCTCCCAAGGGAAGTCCAATCACCAGTGAAAGTTACAAGGCTTAACAAGGACATAAACAAGCTTAGTCTACTTTTCTGCAAATGGGTTTACAATTTCAGCTCATCTCATTTTCAGACTCCATCAGAGGGAGTAAATGACATTAAGAGAACAGACAAACAACACTGCTTTCGAGTAATACCCCCATTATTGCCAAACGGAAAGTTATCTGAGCCGTGATTTATAAAATTATTCAAGTGATAATTCAACTACCTTATTGCACGTGTACTTTTAAAAGTAATGTGGTTTGGCAGCTTATACAGGCTGCTAAGAAGCATAGAGACATAAACACATCTATATTTAGTGTCATTAAATGTTTTTAAGTTCGTTCATTTACTGTTTAGCTACAGAATTTTAGAATGCTTCTCAAAGTCCAAACTTAGCACCCAAACTGTGCAACTGAAAAATAACTAGAAGCCAAAGTCTGAATTTGACATGTTATTATATTTTTCTCTATTTCTTGTGACCATATTTTCCATCTTTGGGGGCCCAGAGTCTCATCAGCTTTCTCTGTCTCCCTTCCCTTCCTTCTCTATCCCCTCTTAGAAGTAAACCCTGTTCAACTTCCTCAACTCTTTCCCACCTCTGCCACCTGTCTTCCTTTAGCATGTTTGAGAGAGATTTCCCAGAAGCTAAGGTAGCCGGTAAAAATCCAGAGACCAGACACACATGACCCAAATGTTGAGTCTGATCCTGTATTCCGAATTCTCTAAGGATGAAAATGATCCAATTTACTACCCTAAGTAATAGATGAACTATGTAAACCATGATTGCATTTTGAGAATGAGGTGAATCTAGATATAATATAACGTATACTATATCATATGTATTATATATAATATCATGTAATTATGAAGTAGGCATAAATTATCCACTTATTTTTTAATGCATTCATACAGCCAATTTAATGGAGTAACAGTTACATGCTAGGCCTCTGCAAAGCCTTAGAATTTAATTAGAATTTAGCTTTTGATTTCAGATTTAAGTTATAAAACGTACTTGAGCATTTGCTGGTTAGATTTCAGCGCAAAGGGAGTAGGAAAGTACAAGAAATCATTGCACCATGGAGTGGTCCTGCTGATAACAATGACCCCTGCCACCCCCTCCCCTACTTTAGAGATAGGGCTACGGAGCCCTGCAGAAATCCAGGACTTCAATACTACTCACCTTTCTCTTTGACATCTAAGGTACTTTACAGGAATTATCTGCTTAATCCCCATCACATTCTTAAAAGGCAGAAAGTAGTAATATTTCAAATGGATCTTTTTTAGTGGATAAAAATTGAACTCGGAAATATTATAGGACTTTCTAAAGCATCTCACCAGGCAAGGACGTAATGAAGCAATTGGGTCTCGGCCACCTCCTTCCTGGTCTACACCTCTTCCCATTTGGGCGTGATTCCACCTTTAGGGACCATGATACACTTTGTCCTTGTTAAACATGAGCTTTGGTATTTTTGCCTTTGTGTCATAGCAAATTCTGTGAGTCTCACCTCAATGCCACCTGACTCTCTCCCATATGGCAAATACCCAGCATGAAGGAAGTGGCCCTCATTTTCAGCACATGGGCCGTGGGCAACAGGAGGCTGAGAGCTTTAGTCATGTGTCCAGGGTCTAACAGCCTTAGGTGAAGTGAACCTCTGGTCACTGACTTCTCCTTGTCCCTGATATTGCCATCTTCTCCAAGGTGACGGCCTTGTCCTTCTAAGACATGTCATCCTCAAGGGGTCACTCTTCACTCTCTCCTTGGCAACTCACTGATCCCAATGCCTACAAACCTCATGCCCAATTGGGCCAAGTTCAGTTTTTGACCCTGACACTTTGCTCAAGTGTTATAGAACACATTACTTAAGAAAACAAATGAAATGACTATGGTACTACACAGTAAATAAATGTACTTTAAATCCCCAATCTAATCCTGTATCTAGAAGTTTGGTGTCTAATGCGATGAGCATGTCAAATGGAGGCTTTGGTGGTTTAAAAACACGTTTGCAAGTCCAAAATGCTTCCTCAGTGACACAGTCATAGCTGAAGTATACCCTGGCGGTAAAGGAGGGGCAGAAACTCCACCAGCAGAAGTTAATAGAATAAAGCGTCCTTATAAGTATCTATTTTGCACTATGGAGCATGCCCATTTCAGCCAAATCCACAGGATGGATGGCTTTTTAAACTTGATGGGATCACAGACACCATCGACAATCAGATGAAAGCTATGCACTCTCTCGAGAAAAATGCTCAGATCTGCAGATGATTCCAGGGCTTCACAGATCCCCAAGGCCCAGTCTGATCACTTTGCTGGTTATCACTCATTTGGGATCAATTATTCATGTAGTGCTGGAGAGCGTGGGGAAACCGGGGAGGCAGATTTACTTTGCAGATAGAGATCAGCTCCTGGGAAGTGCCCGCATTGCTTTCCCTTACGTTATATCCCACGCAGGTGAGCCTTTGACAGCAGAAGTTCTCACTACACATTTAGTAATTAGCAACAAACTAGAGGATATTTCCCCCAAATCTGTTCTGACCCATTAGCAATACAAACATAACAAATGCACAAGAAGTTTACCTAATAATCCCATAATTATATGAACCAGCTCTTTACTGACTTCTGAAAAATTAAAGCAGACGTATATAAAATATCACCAAGTGTGTAATCTAAACAGCAAATTTGCAAAACTCTGGTGTTTTAATCAAGATAACTAAACTGTGCTGTCGCAGATTAAATGGTCTCGTCTTCACAGCGATTATTTACTCTGAAGATACTGTCTTCCAGGTTGAACCGACAGCCTTGGAAACGAAAGTCCACACAGCTGCTCTTCACAGCAAACGCAGGGTAGTTTGAAGTGGATGAGATGGTGGTGCAAGTTGCACCCTGTGGGCCAAATCTAGGCTTTTTATCCAGATCTGTAACTAAAAGATTCTATAAACCCTAGAATTCAATCTATTCTTATTGTTCCTCCGCTTCCTCTCACCACAAACAACAGAAGACAAACAAAACTAAACTAAAACATTACGCAGAATGATCAGTAAACTTACATGGGTGGTCTCGAAAGCTTTATCACAGCATACAATACAAAATTACAACACAGGTTTTCAGTAAACAATTACCATTAAACATTACTCAAAATTACTTCTAACTATTTCCAAGTGGCCGATGGTGTTTATGCAGATGAAAAAAGAGGGGAAAGTCATCATCACGAAATGCAGCAGTAGAGTGATGCTGGCAAGTACTGCAATTCTATTTCTGCTCTCTGCACTTAAGCCTTCTGTCTAACTGTGACCAGACGAAAACAAGAATCGACTGAAAGTGTCCAATGCTTGTGGATGAACAGGCCCTCTGACAGTGTAAGACTTCCTTCTGTGCTGCGTTAGTTCAGTAAAATCACAATAAGTCCAAAAATGTCTTCTATGTGGCTCAGAAACACATAGTGATTTAATGAGGCGAAGGAACACGGGCTAACTTTGGAACTCATGCAGATAACAACTGTGTGAAGTGTTTTAAGACTATTTCAACGGTCATGAGAGAATACATTAAGGCAAAGAAAAACAACCTGAAAGCAGGTAGCAAGAGCAAATGCAAATATATGCCATTCGATTCTAAATTCTGTGCTACAGGCAAGAATACATGAGTTCTTTTGCGCAAAAAATCTCCAAAGGAAAATTAATTTTTCTTTCAAAATACCCTTCTGTGTTTTGTATGCCACTTCACTCAGGCAGTTCTATTAAGGCAATACTCTGTGTCTGCCCGTGAGATTGCTTCAAGTTATTGTTGATACAGCTAAGTAGGGTGGGTGGCAAAGTGATTTTCTGACACAATTTTTGTTATGATACCTGAGGTTTATTGTGAAGCCCTCAAAACACAAATGGCTAATTGCTTCCCTCAAGAAATGCACAAAAAAACAACATGCCAAATGCAAAGATGTTTAAGGGAAGTTCTGCTTTGTATCAGAGGGATGAAGGTTATCCACAGGGGTGAAGAGAAAGGAAGAGTTTGGACTGGGAGTCAGGATTCTTTTTTTTTTAAGAGCACTTTTTTTTTTTGCTGAGAAAGATTCTCCCTGAGCTAACATCTGTTGCCAATCTCCTCCTCACTTTTTTTTCCCTCCCCAAAGCCCCAGTACCTAGTTGTATATTCTAGTTATAAATCCTTCTGGTTCCTCTATGTGATCTGCCGCCACAGCAAGGCTACTAACAGACGAGTGGTGTGGCTCTGTGCCCGGCAACTGAACCCAGGGCTGCTGAAGCAGAGCATGCCAAACTTTAACCACTAGGTCATCAGGGCTGGCACTCAGGATTCCTTTGTGTGTGTGTGTGTGAGGAAGATCAGCACTGAGCTAACATCCGATGCCAATCCTCCTCTTTTTGCTGAGGAAGATTGGCCCTGGGCTAACATCCGTGCCCATCTTCCTCCACTTTATATGGGACGCCGCCACAGCATGGCTTGACAAGCGATGCATCAGTGTGCACCCGGGATCCGAACTGGCGAACCCCGGGCCGCCACAGTGGAGTGCGCACACTTAACCGCTTGCACCACTGGGCCGGCCCCGGAAGCCTTCTTTCTTGATCTGGCCCTTGCCTGCCTTTAGGCTCAACTTCCACCACCACTCCCATGGGTGAAAAAATGAAGCTCAGGTCTCATCTGAGATGGCTATGTAGACAGACTCTACCTTTGTATACTAGAGAGGTACATTTGTTGAGTGTTCTTTTAGAAAAGAAATAAAAATATATCATATGTAATTTTTAAAACCAAAACTTTATGTGACATATTCCTCTAAACTTAAATGAAAAGCAACTTCAGTCAGGTGAAAAAAATTAAACAAAACAGAAAATTAACAGTCATGAAAAACAGATTTACATTTCTAAAATTCTTACCCAGTGTCTGCTGGAAAGATACCTTCCAACCTCTTGCTGTTTGAAATGAGTTTGTCTTGAACACCAGGAGCATACTATTGTTGCTGCTCTTAACATTTGGTGGAAGTTTGGAACCACAGAATTTGCCAAGAAGAGAATCGCTGACGTTAGAACCATCATAAATTGCCAGGTAATCTTGGGAGCAGAAGGTGGAGGGAACCACATCAAAATCACTGAACCTGTGAAATGAACCTTGTTAATACTGATGTTCTCCATTTGGATTTCCATTAAATTGTACCTTTAGCTCTTGCAAAAAAAAATATAAGACAAAGACAAAAAGCAGAACATCCAAGCTTTACTTGACAGGAAATATTAGAAACAATATACTATTTTACTGATCAGTTTAAAAGTTTAGTCAAAATTTTTTGAGTGACTACAATATGTCAAAAAGTGTGATACGCACTGGGGATGTAAAGATGAGTAAGATACAGTCCTTAACTTCCAAAGTTTACAGTCAAGGATCTATTAAGTCTATTTGAGATTAAGTTTTGGCAAGTTGAACTGATATTTATTTATCATTTCAGCAACACTTAGTTTTCCAGTCTCATTAAATATATGGTGTTTACTCTGGTCTCTTGTTATTTTGTGCCTTGGGGTTGTTTGTTACCACTTATAAGCTATCCTAACAGGTACAACCCTAACTTTTCCTTCATGGCCTAACACAATATTTTAATCTAGGTCTTACACTTTATCATTTCAAGTAACTATTCTCTGAGTTCCCAAACAAGCAAGGCTTCCTACGTGGCTTATCTTGAGGATTTTATGATGAGTTTATTAAAGTTTATGTTTTTTAATGTTTAAATTATTTGATATCCTGTCCTCATTTTTGTAGGTTCTTCTCTCTCAGTATTTTTTTGCTAGCAGCTGTAATAAACAACATACAATACAGAATAATTTGAAAATAGATATCTAACATTAAAATACTTCCTTTTAAGAGCCTTAAGAAAAAAAGGATCGGCATGACATGAATCCACAAAAAAATGATAAAGATATGAGTTTCCAAGACTACTCAAAGCTGTTTTGGTTTTTTATTTTACATCATTTTCCCAGGAGAGCACAGAACATATCTGGAAAGTCCCATTGACAGAAAACCTTATGAGGCTCATCTCAAAATGAGCACAACTTGAGAGCCTCGGTAGAAGGATTTATGTTTTACTAATGTCTACAATTTCTGCAGCACCTAGAATAGTATCTGTTTCATAGAATGTACGTTCTCAGAAAGAGTATAATAAATAATTTTCCAAACAAGCTGATGCCAACTTTGACTATGGTGAACCCTGGGGCCCAGGCAAGAAACAGAAAGAAAAAAAATAAACACACAGACACACACACACACACAGAGACACACATATATATCAAGTATAATCCCACACATGTAAGCAAATATTATGCTACAATGGTAAATTACAGGAACCACCTCTTATGCTTCTATTCTGGGCAGGTGATCCCTTCACAGGCCTCGTGCTCCTGGCTATCTGGCAGTCGTTGTTTATTCTTTTGTTCTTAGGATTTAAGGGACTTTTTGGCTCTGGGGCACCTGTTTCCTTACAAATAGTCCCAGGTAGGATACGCAGTTTTCCTCAAGGTCCAGTCTACAGACCACTTACTATCTGATACAGCAATCAAATCAGGCTTGATGAGACCTGACTCAGAGTGTGAGGACCCATTTGATATATGAGGCCCCTGAAGGTAAACTGCAGAGAGTTTATGATTTTTAGGGCAGAAAGTGATCACAGACATATTGGAGGGAGGAAGGGAGGAGTGCTCCTAGCCTATCAAGCATCTATAAAAAATTCCGTATTGCCATGAACTCTGCCAACTTTCAGAGTTTTCCAGACATGCTGCATATCACTGAAACACAAGAGCTAGAAATTTGTCATCTTAGATGAAAGCAATTTTGAACTTTATCCCCCTGGAAAACTGGAGGTAGCATTCTCTCAATCAGTCTTGTTGGGAGTAAGTAGGCTTAGGGGAGAATTTAACTGATGAGGTAAAATATCTCATATAGTACCACTTTAGAGGTATTTTGATATACAAATAAAAATGAATTTCTTAAGTAGTTAGAAAATCTACCCTTTGAGAGATAGCATAGGGAAATATTAAGAACATAGTTTTGGGAGGAAATCTGATATAGATTCAGATTATGACTCTTCATTTAATAGTGCATCATTTTGGGAAAATTATTTGACCGTTTTGAGCCTCAGTTTTCTCGTCAGTAAAATGAGATTAATAATATATACCTCATGTGACTGTTTTAAGAATTAACTAAGAGAATTATGGAAAGTGTTCATTAAAGTTCCTTGTGTATAATAAGTGCCCAGCAAATGGAAATTGTTTTCTCATGCCCTCCCCACATCCTTTGATTTCAAGATAGGCTTATAACTTTACACCCCTTTATATGATGCTCCTTTGAAACTGCTGGAAAATTCTAACAATGGCTTTAATTGGTGGAGTTCCTCTGTTTCCCCCTTAATCACTACTGGCTTGCGTGGAGGGTAGAAGGCCCATTTCCCAGGTTTATTCTACCATACAAGAACCTCACTCTCCCTTCCTCTAGATTTCCTTATATACTTCTGATGAGAACCAATGCTCTCCACCATTAAAGGAATATCTTCGCTGCAAATAGAGTTGAAGGGATTTTCTTAGGAAGGTAAATACATCTCACGTACTTGAGCTGAACCACTCTGTCATCTCTAACGGTGATGGTATACAGACAGTACATATTGTCAGGGTAGTCTGAGTATGAGTAGGCAGGGCTCCTGATGATCCCCGTGGAGACGTTGAACACACCACCACAGGCTGCAACAGAGGACAGGGGAACATGCAGAGAACAGTGATTACTCAGAGATGAGGAAAAATAACGTTGAGATATTCTTTAGTCTTGTCCCTTTTTCCCTAAGAGAGATGATAACTATTTGTCTTAAAGCAACTTAAACCTCCCTTCATGGTGTTTACAAATAATTCTGAGTTTTCCATTGAGGTAGGGGGAAGAGACACTAAGAGAGTAGAAGCAGGGAGGAATATTTTAAGGCATAGCTTGGAATGGAATAAGTCTGAGTGAAATTAATGGCCAGAGAGAAAATAACGAGAAAGAACATTTCATGTGTTGGGTGTAACTGTCTTTTCTCTATATTTAATGGACAGATTCAGAGGGATTACAGTGATAACCGGAGGTTTAGAAAAGGCATGCAGAATCCAAGGTACGTCGTGGAATATGAACCCAGGAAGGACTGCAATCTAGAAATCTTAATATAGATTCGAGTCTCCTCTATCAAAGAAACACTATTATAGGGTGAAGTACTAGAAACTGTGTTTGGAACATTCAAGTTCAGTTCCCTCTGTGGACTCAAATGCATAACTCTTGGGTCCTATGTATTTCTATTTAGTTATGAGACTGGTAAGGACTATACTTGCCTGAATTTGTATTCTTTGTCCTCAACAAGCATGAGGAGGGAGGCCCACTCTCTACCCTGACTCCAGCAATCCATAGTCCAGAGCCCTTAGTTACACCCATTAGTCAATAAAACAACAGCCAAAAAAAGACAATAAAATCCATTATAAAAAATATAAAATTATTGTTGTTTGCTTGGCCTTACATATAAGGAGGATCAGATTCTGCCACCTAATGATGGAAAATGCCCTACTCTCATGGCAGTGAGAAAGGTTTGTATTTATTTTACTTTGCAATTCTAAAATGATATTGGGGTTAGTATATTTTGATGATATTTCTATGGTTTATATACTATTTATGGACATATTCCATTTAGATCTCTTAGAAATGATAAACAAATTGTGGCTGCCATTTAAGATTATTAAGTTATTTATTTATCTGTTTGTTTGTTTGTCTATTTTGCCTCCGCTGAGCCCACATTGCAGGGAAAGCTGTTCTCTGTAAGCCCATAAATATTCACGTGCTCAGACCCCTGGGTACATCTGTACTGAATTCAGTGTTAGATTTGTGTAGCCTTATTCTATTTCATCTTGTACACAATTATGTGGTCTCTGAAAGCGTATCAGTGCCTAAATAACTCTCAAATTTGTACATTGTCAGGATTTGAAATCTTAATGTCAACAACACTCTTTAAATGAGACTCTCGTAGTATATATATTGAACTTTGCACACAGTGTTTTAGGAAAATGAGGGATTAAAGAGCAAAAGAATATCAGGCAGGGATGTAACTCTCCAAAACACCAGTTGTACTAAAAGAATAAAACACACTAATCCTTCCCTTTATTCAGCAGGACAACTAGGGGAAGGAATGTTCATTGCTCAGTTCTATTCTGTTTGTGCCAACAGGTCGTGTGCGAAGCCACACACAACCATACTCCACAAATGGGGGGTCAGGACTCAGGTAGCAGTGAACGCATCATGAATGTGAACGAATGTGAAGGCCTTTTTCATGAGTAAATAAACATTTTCAGTCTTCTCTGAGGATGGGAACAGTAATTTATTTGAAAGATGATTATTCAACTTTCTACATTTAGCAACGGGTTTGGTCAAATAAAGACAAAACAAAACAAAGATTTTGCAAGGTTTGTGTGTCCATTTCACTGAAGCTGGGATGGACGATGTGGGAAAAATGCTGTCAGCAAACTAACCAACCAAGTCCATTGCAGGAGAGGAAAAGACTATTCAAAATAGGAAAACATAGTCTTATGACTTTCAAATGAAATAGATCAAATTGTCTACAAAGAATGAAAAGATCCCGGTAGCTAGAAAGGTTTTTGCCCAGCCTGTGTGACTTGTCTTCTTGCTTTGCCTTCGATATGGAGAAATTGCAAATTATAACATAGTTGAATACATCAATCTTTGCTTTTCCTTTAAGCCTGGTGCTTTTTGCATATTCTTAAAAAAAATCCTTTCCTACCAGAAGATCATAAAGATACTCTCTTACATTTTTTTCTAAATTGATAAAATATGGCTTTTCACATTAGCAAAGTGACTTGGGGAAATGACAGAGGCACCTGGATAGTGCAGGCCAAAAAGGCACCTTTGTGTAATGTACAAACAAACCAAAGATAGCAGAAATGTTCGTTTTAACTTTAATCATCAAAATAAATCTTAATCCTCCACTTGACTGTCAAAGAGTAGTTCTAGCCATAGTTCACGAAAAAGAGCCTTCCCACTTTTTTCAAAAGAAAAATGTCTATGTAGTTTTGGACCATGTACCTAATTGATAATTTTTTCCCTTGAAGTCTCTGAATCTTCGAGTTGGTGATGTATGAATCACAATTAAAACTCCTTATGGAAACTGCTCAAGAAAAGAAAGAAAATTCCAAACTACGTCATTATGGCGACTCACGGGTTATCCTGTAGGAAAACTTGAATCCAAAGTCCGTGGTGTGCGCGTTAGAGTAGAAGTTAAGCAGCAGTGGACCAGAGACGGAGACAGGAGACAGGATCTCATCGCCACACACGGTGGCGAAAGGGGTAGAAGCCACGCTGGAACCCCTGATAACGTGCACGCCGTCACTGACACAGCTTCCCGCGGCGGCTGAGCGAGCTGGACGAAGCAGGGAACAACCAGCATTACAATCAGAAGCAACACAAACAATCGATGCTGTAAACATTCAAACAAAATGTGATGCAGATTCACGCAATTTACATAGAAACTAAAATGAGAATCCAGAGCTATTTTGGTACGTTGCTATTAACTTGGTTTCCTGATGAGATGATGTTTACCCTGGTTACAAAGCAAGCACAGTACGAGAAAACAGACAGAACTTCACAATAGATAAATCCCATTTTGAAACAATCTAGAATTTTCTTCCTTTATAAAATGGCTTCTTTCATTCAGTGATTATAAACTGGGGACAATTTTGCCTCCCGGGGACATTTGGCAATATCTAAAGACATTTTTTGCTGTCATGCTGCGGTGTGCTACTGGCACAGAGTGGGTAGAGGCCAGGGATGCTGCTAAACATGTTGCAAAGCTCAAGGCAGCCGCGCACCCCCTGCCTTCTCGTCACAACAAAAATTACCCGGCCCAAAATGTCAACATTGGTGCTACTGAGAAACCCTGCTTTAACTTGAAGCTTATATTCAAATAAAGGACTCCTATCATGGAGAGAGAATTAGAAATCCCTTAATGTTCGTTGGACAACCATTACAAATGTTCACACAAACAATATTAGCTTAAGAGTTTAGTGATATATATACTCCAACCCATTACAAAGAGAAATACAAGGTAGAATAAACAAAAAATTAAAAAGACTTTCATTACTACAACTTATCCTGTCATTTTTTTTTTGTGAGGAAGATTAGCCCTGAGCTAACATCCATGCTAATCCTCCTCTTTTTGCTGAGGAAGACCGGCTCTGAGCTAACATCTATTGCCAATCCTCCTCCTTTTTTTTCCCCAAAGTCCCATTTGATAGTTGTATGTCATAGTTGCACATCCTTCTAGTTGCTGTATGTGGGACGTGGCCTCAGCATGGCCTGAGATTGGTGCGTCGGTGCGCGCCAGGGATCCGAACCCGGGCCGCCGGTAGCGGAGCGCACGCACTTAACCGCTAAGCCAGGGGGCTGGCCCCTTATCCTGTCATTTTTACAGGTGAATTATACCGTTAGAACATTAATTGGGATCATACTGAGCACGATCTTTCATAACCTAATTTTTATTAACATAAAATAACATCACGCATTTTTATGTGATTAAGTATTCTTTTAAAACATTGAATTTAATGCACATATCAAATTCTAACATATGGATGCACCATATGTTCAACTAATCCTCTATTGCTTGAAAATTCTCTCTTTTCCACCTTTTTGTGATTAAAAACACTGTCGAAACAAACATTCTTGTAGATGAATATTTGCAGAAGTTTCTCATTATTTCATCAGAATAAATTTTTAGAAGTTGAGTTACTAGTACTAAGGTAAGATTCTTTTCTAGGTTTATCAAATGGCCCTTTGGAAAGGTGCGGCCAGTTCACAGTCCCACAGCACTTTAGGTATCTGCCATTTTCTGCAATTCTACATTTTCATCCCCCCGTAGAGAAACCTTGTACCCATTAACCACCACTCCCCATTTCCCCTCCCACCCTACTGCTCCTCCAGCCCTAGGCAACCACTAACCTCCTTTCAGTCCCTATGGATTTGTCTATTCTGGACGTTGCACATAAACAGAATCATATAATATGTGGCCTTTTGCAACTGGCTCCTTTTCCTTAACATAATGTTTTTGAGGTTCATCCATGTTGTAGCATGCATCAGTACTTCATTCCTTCCAAGGCTGGATAGTATTCCATTGTATGGATAGACCACTTTGTTTATTCATTCAGCAGTAGATGGACATTCAGTTTGTTTCTACCTTTTGCGTACTATGAATAATGCTGCTCTGAACATTCATGTGCATGGTTTTGTGTGGACATGGGTTTTCAGTTCTCTTGGGTACACAAGTAGAGTGGAATTGCTGATTCATAGGGTAACTCTACATTTAACATTCTGAGGACCTATCAGACAGTTTTTCAAAGAGGCTGCACCATTTTACCACCCCACCAGCAATGCAGGAGGGTTCTAATTTCCCACACCCTCACCAACTCTTGTCAATTTTTTTTTTTTTTGGTGAGAAAGATTAGACCTGAGCTAACATCTGTTGCCAATTCTCCTCTTTTTGCTGGGGAATATTGGTCCTGTGCTAACATCTGCGCCCATCTTCCTCCACTTTATATATGGGACACCTTCCACAGCATGGCGTGATAAGTGGTGCGTAGGTCTGCGCCTGTGTCTGAACCTGTGAACCCTGGGTCACAAAGCAGAGCATGTGAACTTAACGTCTACGCCTCTGGGCCGGTCCCTGTCTGTCTTTTTTATTTAGCCATCCTCACGGGTATGAAGCAGTAGCTCACTGTAGGGTTAATTTGCATTTCCCCATAACTAATGACGCTGAGCATATTTTTATGTGCTTATTGCCCATTTGTGTATCTGTTTTGAAGAAAGTTCTCTTCGGTTCATTTGCGATTTTAAAATTGGGTTATATGTCTTTTATTGTTGAGTTGTAAGAGTTCTTTTACATTCTGGATACTAGCATGGTCATAAGTTTTATTTCTCTTGGGTAAATACCTAGAAGTAGAATTGCTGGGTCACAAATTAGGTGTGTATTTAATTCTATAAGAAACTGCCAATCGATTCTCCCAAGTGGTTATATCAGTATACTTTCTCATCAGGAATGTATGAAACTTCCAGCTGCTCTGCGCTTGCCAACATTTGGTATTGTCGGTCTTTTTAATTTTAGCCATTCTGGTGTATGTGAAATAGTACCTCATCGTGATATTTAATTTACATTGCTCTGATGAGTAATGAGGAATACTTTTCATTTTCTCATTGACAAAAATAACAAAAAACATTTTTATTTCATATGGATGCTAAGTTGAACATATATCTAACACATATATCCTGCACACACACACACACACGCACGCACACACACACATGAACTTTACCCACTTACAAATGCCCCCTTGGAACTGACCAAAACTACATTACAATACTTGATATGAGTACATACTATGAGACAGTGGACTCTGAAATCAGACTGCCTGTTTGTTGATAGAAAACTCTTGTAAATTAAAGAAATTATAATAATATTTACTTTATAATTTCAAGTCTCCTGGCCATAGATCTTGGTTCAAGGGTAGGCATGTGACCTAAGCCAATCCAATCAGGGTAAATTTCAAGACCCTTGTTTGGAATCTGGAATAGATAATTGCCTGCTGGTAAATATAACCAACTCTCTGAGGGTAAGACAGAAGCCTGGATTTGTAGAATTTGCCAATTTCCATGGTATAAATACTCCCGCTATAGCCTATTCCAAGCTACCAACGTGAGGTCATTAAATGCAGAATTTGAAACATAGGTGCACGATTGACTCTTGCAAGATGGTACCAGCCAACGACACCATACCACCGGATAGACGCCCTCTCTCTCCCCGGATGTGCAAGAGGGGCACACGGCCCCCACGGTGAGGGCAGAGACCCCACAGCCAGGAGAAGAGCCAGCCTTAGGGTGAGGCTCACACTGGAGTAGCACAGACTGAGAACAGAAAAAGTAAAATATTTGATGACATAATTAAAATGCTAGATTCAGTAGATTTGAGACATATCCAACTTTGAGGTCTTCCAAAAGTAAAGCCAATAAATTGTCCTTTTATATTTAAATCAGGTTGAATTAGGTTTTCTGTTAATTGTGCCATAAAAATTCCTAATTGATATAGTATGGATTATCCTAATCATAATCATTGTTATTATTTTTTATAGAACCCCACCATCTTGAGCCCTGTTGATAGACTGATTGAAGGATGTCAGACCCCACAATCTAGGCCAATCAGATGTGTTCGAAGTGTAACTGAGTGAGAGGCAGCCAATAGTAGGAGCCAATGATGTTCAACTCAGAAAACAGCAGCAGTCGTCTCCTGACGCGTGAAGGAAGCCAGGCTGTAGTCAGGGAAGATGAAGTCGTCATGCAGAAGCAGCAAAGAGAGGGGAAAAGAGACAGCCTTCTGAAGGATTCTTGTTCCTGCTTCCACTTGTTCTGGAAGCCCATTACTCCCCTTACTTTTAAACCTTCCTTTGATGAGATGAGATAACCCAGTGTCCTTCCTACAAACTCTACTTTATATCTAAGCTAACTTGAAGATAATCTACCACTTTTAAATGAAAGAATCTTGATGAATGCATTTTTTTACATATCTGTACATTTAAAATTCCTCTCCATTTTTGGATGTATTATCTTAGAGAAAATTGACATTTTTATCAGAAAATATCTATGCAATTTAAAACTCATTTAAGGAATGTATTTGGCTCCTTAGCTAAGTTTCTATCCAACTTGAAGAAATTTTGAGGTATCAATCCAAGATACATTTGTTAAATTAACCTCAAAGAATTCCATCATTTTGAAAATCCTAGAATAGAATGCTTCTAATTGAGCATAAATCTACAAGTTAAAAATGTGAACAACTTAACTTCAATGACCTTACTATGTAATTAGCAGCAATATGATGTTGGAAAAATAGGACAAAAAAGAAATACATTACACTTAGATTCATGGTTTGAATACTGCCAAATTATGTACCTTAATTATAACCTCAGAATTTGTCTTCTAGACATCAAAACCTCCACTGGAATTCTAAAAATTCACAGTAGGTGAGTTTGAGAATCAAAAAACATTACACATTAGCTAAAAAAATATCTTTAGCCAGCAACAATACATAAAGTTGTAAAGGCAAAATCACAGAATGACAGGAAATATTGCTTATGCTAGATTAAAATCTCAGTTCTACATTGGTGAAATGACCTGCTATGCAGGTATCCTTTAAGTACTAAAGAGTTCATTTTTAGGTTGTTGGCCCAATAATATAGACTATCACAGTGGTGGATGTCTTAGAAAATTATGGAAAGGCTGTGAAACATAAGGTAAAGTATGTCATATGCTTGATTATGTTTCCAAAAAATTAAAGGAACTAATTCAATTATAGAAAGTTCATTCATGAAATAGCAATGGTAT